TACCATTATTCCGATAGTCGTTTCGGTACACTGGCTGATAGCGAAGAGCTTCGACCAACACCTCAATAAGCTCTCGCTAGACAATTGGATTAAGGGCCCGATACAAAAGGCGGTTATTTTAGAAATCGCACGCATAGTGATTAGGTTCCTGTCTCTGCCCTGACTACTGGTTGCTTGAGTCATCGGATTCTGCAGCCGGTGGTGCTTTATTTTTTATATAATGTGTTTTATTTAATTTTTTATATATATAAAAATCATGTAAAATATATTATATGTAAAAATAAGTAATTAAAGATATATGAATATAGATAAATAGATATATACAATATCAATAATATATAATTAAACTATATATTAATATATTTCAGAGTTTTACACAGAAATCAAACAGATGAATGGAAAGGTTGGATGCAATTGGTGATTTTAGTATACCAAGTGACGGGAGCGAGTAAAGTTCTGCCTATTTACATGTTAGTGCGGGCTTTAGTCTCTGCCTACCTCTTTCTGACTGGTTATGGACATTTCTATTATACCTGGAAGACAGGAGACACCGGCCTGGTGAGATATTTCAGGGTCATCTTCCGGCTGAACTTCCTGACTGTGGTTCTTTGCCTGACGATGAATAGGCCGTACCAGTTTTATAGTTTTATACCGCTGGTATCTTTCTGGTATACTCTGGTAAGTGATTTATGTGATTTCTTACTAATATAAATGCGAAAGTTTGGATGGATGGATGTTTGTAGCCTAAACTTCTGAACAGATCTTGATGAAAGGCAAAGATGTAGATAGTCTGAAACACATAGGCTACTTACCTTTGTTTTTTTTAATACACGTAGTCGCGGGAGAAAGCTAGTTATTATTTATTCACTAGCTCTCTCACTCGACTTTGCGTGGATATATAATTAAAACTGATTAGTTTTTGAGTTCTGTGTATTTAAGTGACAAATTTATCGATACCTGTTAAGTTTTGGAGATATGTAGTAAACATCCATCCAAATTAACGCATTTGTAATATTAGTCATCTGTAAATTTTTGGCGGTGTCTAAAAAATTGCATTGTCTATAGAATGAAAAATCCATATTTTAGAAAAAAAAATTAGTTTTGGATATATGTTGTAAAAGATTAATTCATATATCTTATTAGAGTCTAAGAGATATCTTTTATGCTAATATTTTTTTCTAGGTGTTCGTAATTTTCGCCCTACCCCCTCATATAACTCAATCGTCCACACACACAGTGGAATCCAAGCCTTACCAGTACTTGTACATAGCGCTGAAGATAATGGGTCTCCTCAGTATAGTGACGGTGCTGTACATGAGCGAGGTCTTCTTCCAAAAGATCTTTGTGACGAGACCGTGGAAAGCCCTTTTTGTGAACTCGGATGATGATATACATCAGTGGTGGTTTATGTGGAAACAGGATCGGTGAGTGACTTTTTTATTGTTTTTTATAGCTTTCTCGATTACGTCCGTGTGGAATTAAAAAAAACAGAAGTAAGAGGCCTATGTGTTCTAGACTCATCTATGACAAATTTCAACCAGATCTGTTCAGCGATTTTGAGGAATTAGGTGTCATTTGATTTTTATTTTAGCATGATTGCAATTGTAAACCTTTTTCTACAATAGGGAATATGCAAGTTTTTTTTTTAAACGATTCTACTTGTTATAAAATAACCAGAAAAAAAAATTGACGCGAAAATATTCAACCATTGAGCTAAAAATAATAAAATGAAATTACGACCATTTTCGAGCGACTAAAACGCGACCGGTGTTGACATGAGACAATTGACGTCAATCGTCTTATTCCATTCATAACATACGCTCAGATATCACTTCAATATAAAGCAAAGTATCTCAAGGTCAAAAATCGATTCATTTTTATTATTCCTGGTACAAATAATAAATGACTTATATTATTTTTTAGGTATTCAATGGCGTACGGTGTAATATTCGCGAGTTTATACCTGCTCGCTCAGAGATACAACTTGGTGGACGACAACAACCACAGCAACCTGTTCACTCCGGGCCTC